GATCTTTTAAAAGAACACACTAAAAAAGAGCTCATGGTGATTGGTGTAAATGTAAAATTATATAATAAATTAAAACACAACTCTACCTTCCTTGGGAAGTCCTGAACTCTTCTTTTCAAATAGTTTCTGTTTTGTTACTTTTGTCACTAAAGAAAAAGAAACCTCATGTTAAAAATTAATATGGAAAGTGAGTAATTTCTCACTTTAGAAGAAACAACTTCATAAGAAATAATTATCTGGAGTAAAACATATAAGTACCAAGTACAAAGTGCTATACTTTATATCTTTTTTAAAGAATGAGAACTACATAAACAAAAGCCTAACACCAGTTTGCAAGGTACATTCTTTCCCTTCACATTCAAGAAGATTCCCTGAAATAACATATCCTTGCAAAAGATAAGTGGCTTCTTGTTCTAAGTCTACAAACAAGTAATGGAGAGACACCATTAAAAACTCATACACTTCTCTTACTTAGTTCTTTTGTTTTCTGCATTTCTCTTTTCAAGACACATGATGCACGGGAGATACCAATGAGATTTTCCAGTTCTCTACTGCCCTCCAAAGCCTAAAAGAAAATCATCTTAAATGAGTTAAGTTCTCTACAAATATTACTGAGAAGTCTAGTGCAAGTAAGGTGCACTGCTTCCTGCATCTGAAGAACAAACTCTGTGGTAATAAAAGTTAACTTTTTCTAGGTTAACTATCGTAAACTTTAAAATAGTCAAATAGAAACAGTTTATTAACTAAAAAGATTACACATAATTAATAAATGTACTCTTAAATGTGGAAAAGCCATATATTACTAAAATATTATGTTTAATTAATGTTCATATAAGAAAAATTCCCATGAAAAGTAAACGGAACATATCCTCTGCAAACTCTTTCCAGGATTAGATTTTCGGGGCTTCTCTCCTACTCTTTTTCAAATGGGGTAATAGAAATATGAAAAATTGTATGCCAAAAAAAGCAGACCTGTATACTACTTAAATTTTGCATTACTTCTATGATTTCTTCTGATGACTTCTCAACTTTAGATAGCAACACCATGAATCTGTGAAGAAAAAATATTAAGCAAGATCAAGCACTTAAACATATGAAGTCATTTTCAAAGCTATATAATTCTTCTAAAAGCATCTTAGATTCAGGTTTTCTTTACATTTTTAAAAGTGGTACAAGATGTAAATACTCCTCCTTCATGATTTCATTCCTATACAAACAATATATTTTACCAAACAACCTGTCCTTTGGAGTTTCACTTTCTCATCCCAACTGGGCAGCAGAAGAGAAGATGCAGTTGGCTTGTCCTTTCTTCCCCACACTACTTTGAGAAAACTAATACACTGCCATCTCCTTATTTACCTAACTCTAAGTCTCTGAATCAATGTTACCCAGTGATTTTTTTTAATGAAAAAATAAATTTTATAGCTTTAATATATTTCAATGTGAAAAAGACACACTCTTTTAAATTTGAAAACAAAGAAAACTTCACTTTACAATTCTACCTCATGAATATATCTCTAGTTAGCTTGTTAACATTCTGGAAAAATTCACTTAGGTTTTAAAAAGATTTCTATAACTTTGTATCACACTTTCTTTCCTTAATATAACATTATACACACACACACACACACATATATATATATTTGACCACATTCATGTGTCTGTAATTTTAAAGGCTGTACAATATTGTACTTAATAAACATACCAAAGGTGATTTAACCATTTCCTTATGGCTGTAATTTTAGTCTCTTTTCCAATTTTAAGATTTCATAGCTGTATATGACAATCTATACCAGTGCAGTCTAATAGAAGTATAATGCAAGCCACACATGTAATTAAAATTTTTATAGTAGCCATATTAAAAGTAAAAAGAAACAGATGAACTTATTTAATTTTAATGATATATTTTATTTAACCCAATATATCCAAAGTATTACCATTTCCACATGTAATCAATGTAAAAATTATTCATGAAATATTTTATACTTTTTTTTTCAAAATTCAGTGTATACTTTACACTCGTAGCATATCTCATTTCAGACTAGTCACATTTCAAATGCTCATTAGCCATGTGTGGCTGGCTAGTGACTACTGTTTCGAAGAACACAAATCTATACTATCGATTTTATGAGAGAAACTAGAAATTCTATTTAAATGCTTTTCAAAATTATATCAGTGTTACCCATTAACATTCGTGTTATTAAAAATTTGATAAATGTGACATTAAATGTTTATACACAATGAATATGTACAGTATGCTTTAACAAAGTCTTAATATAATTAAGATATATAATAATAAGATATATAATTATATATCTAAGCATGCAAGCAAGGAGCAGAGAGAAACCATTATGCAAAAGCTAAAATTTATGGGAGGATAGTGGATTACAGGTGATTTTTAAAAAAATTTTCCTTTATTATTATGCATTTTCAATTAGAAGTCATCTATCTGTCTGAGCCCCCAGTTGCTTACCACTGGAACCTCAGTTTGAGAGACAGAGTATCATAAAGAGATTTCAGCTCCTCTAATTGAGCTCCCAAAGCCTTAAGGAGCAAGAAGACTTAAGTGACTCCCAAACAGGACTTTGAACCTCCACCTTCTACATTATACATAAGCCAACTAAGTGCCTCATGAGTGCAAAGCTGACACAATGAAGCTAGTTTGCTATGAGGAGGAATCCTAGGAGCTCTTTACCTTGCAGCCCTTTCCTGGGAGGACAGGCAGAGCCTCTCCACATTGTCTTACCATACCTTAAGGAACTGACTACCCTCAGGGAATTGTGTGGAAAGGGTTGGGTCCTGCAGAGTTACCATCTTGAATGATTCCAAAGAGCTCTGTTCAGAGTAAGGTGTGAATGGCGCCCCCAAGAGTTGTGCAATGTAGCAACCCCAACAGACCTGATAGTAAATCTCTCTCCCAAGTTAAGATAGTTACCCAGCAGGCTAAGCAAACTGTCTGACAACTTTGGAGTTTAGGGACTGAGTATAAGTTCTCTGGGTATCAAGATATCCTTCACATGCCTAAACTGCTTTTGCAGGGAAACTTGCCTCCACTGCAGAACCAAGTAGAGCAGTAGACACTCCATCGTTCTTGTCGATTTTATTTCATTTTCCTTTCCTCTCCTCTTCCTCCTTTTACAACTTGCTAGGTGAAATCAACTCCTTTACCCATCTTGATGGCAGCCAAATTCAAGGAATGGTTTTTCAACTGCCATTCAACTGTTAAATTTTGAGAAACTCAGGAGCTGTGTTCTTTTCTGTATCTTCTGACTCAGCGAGAAGGCTTCATAGACTTTGGAGATAAACTGCTTGCTAAGCAGCTTTTGGGAGAAGAATGGTTGCCACTGTCTTCATCCTAGACAACATGGCAATTCTCAATTGAATCCCATTTGTCTTGGGGACTGGATTTTGTTTTTTATTGCTGCTGATTGCATTTTTCTATATTTTCAATGGATGGTTCAAATTCTACTTTGTTGCCCTAAGACAGTATTATTGTTTACTTAAGAGTCCCATGGCCTTTAATATCATCTTGATGTTCCTTCATTAATTTATTTACTTCTGAAAACCAACAATCATTTGTTTTGCCTTCAGAATACATTTCTGTTACAAATTTCTAAGTCATTGTGGCTCCTTCTTTCAAGTTGGTGAGTGAAAGTATCAGTGGGTGCCTTTCATATTTTATAGAACATTGTTTCTTTCTTAAACTACTTTGCCTCTGGCTGGACTAAATTGGATCAAATCCCTCATCTTATAATGACCGCTGCAAACTATGAAGATGTTGATGCGTGCTGCATCCAGATACCCAGTAACTGCTCCAGTTTCACAGAATCCTTATAAGATTTGGTCAAATCCTATATTATGGCTAAAGACCACTGTAGTACAACTTGAGAAATTTAAAATCTCGGTTCTCCTTGAAGGAAGCTTCTTTTTGTCCATCGGTAGAGTAAAAACCCAGCATCATCTTCTTTTTAAGCAACAAGTACTTTTTAAGTGTCTCGGTTAGTCCTCTAAGATACTTTTTAAAAAGAAACTATGATTCAGTTGGTTTGGCACAACAGAAAGTTGTTCAAGACTTGTCATTTTCTGCCAGACTGCCTTACCTCCGGGCAGATTCTTATTGTACGTTCACTGTGAATCTCTTTTTCTCTCGAGAAAACCATATGCCAAAACTTCAGGATTTTAGGTGCATTTTCCAATTTGCCTAGAAAAGTCTCACTGTGAAATTCATTTTCCTCAAAGAGAAAATCTTGTTATTCTGAAGAATAACTGAAACTGGGTGCTTCGGCCACATGAAATTCATGGGAGGGATGAATCCATTAATTATGCTTTAAATTTCTTCCATAGTAATTTCTTCAGTCTCATGAAGTCATATGTAACACAACTTTCAAAACTATTATTCTGCTCCAATTCTGGGTATTTTTTCCTATCTTGACTCCTTTCAATTATTTTCCATTCTTAGCTTCAAATTTAGCTTCATCATTTTCTTTTGCTCTATAAAATTCCCCAGATATATTCTGAGGGAAGAACTAAAATAACAAGGAGAAACTATCACTAAATTGGTGGGTTTTAGTTAAAAATTGCTGATACAGGTAGTTAGCAAGCTGCTGCTGTGCCATCCTAGATGTGGAAGAAGGGAGGCAAAGCAGATGGGAAAAGAGCCCACTGACTTCTTCAAGATTCCCTAGCATGCAACCCATGGTGTCTACTACACTAGCTGTGCAGGCATTGTGGATGTAGTGGAAGAAGAGGTGAAACCTCTAAAAGAATAATAGTTGTTAAAGATTCTGATTTGCCCTTTTCTGTAACATCCAACTATTTGACATCTGCCTTCCTCACCAAACTGTAAGTTCCATGAAGGCAAGGATAGTGTCTACCTTGTATGTTATAAACCAAGGTAACAAGCATTGTGTCTATAGTGTGCTAGGTACCCAATAAATATTTGGTGGATCAATGAACAAAATCCAAAAGACCTAGTCCAGTGAACATCCCTAGATTCAAGTGAAATATGCTTATCTTTCATTTTTCTCTTCCTAACATCCTTCCAGCCATTGACTTCATGGCTCATCAGTTCGTTGTATCATTGAGAAAGTTGGGTGGCAGAAACGAGGAGATGCTGATCAAAGGGTACAAGTTTTCATTTATAAGACGAATAAGGTCTGGGGATTTCATATACAGTATGGTAGCTATAGTTAGAAAAACTATGTTGTACACTTGAAATTGATAAGAGAATAGATCTTAAGTAGATCTTAAGCATTCTCACCACCAAGAAAACAAGGTAACTATGTGAGATGATTGGTGGTTAGTTAACATGACTGAGGTAATGATTTCACAATGTATACATATATCAAATCAATATGTTATACACTAAATACATACAATTTTAGTTGTCAATTATACTTTAATAAAGCTGGGAAAATTTTTAAAAAGAGAAAGATAACTGTCTCAGGCCCCTAACTTTCTGCCACATACATGTCTTTCTAATGTGTAATCCTGGATTTCCTCCCTATTTCTTTTCTTCACTCCTGGCCTATGCTGAGAGTGCTATAGAAATCTCTGATGGTTAACATTACAAGTACATATATGATTTTGCTGGGCCCCTGATGCTGCTTAACTCTCCTTCTACTTAATAAATATTCTCTCTTTCACAAACTGTTGCTCAAAATAATGGTCTAGCCCAATCTCCATTTCTTCCAAACTGAAATTAAACTCCAGTGCCTTACTACTCTATTAACACTATACTCACAAAGGACACAAGTGAATTTTTAATTCCACTACCAAAAACTTACCTGAAAGTCACTACCTGCAAGAGATTATATTTTCATAAAATCTCAAGAAACCTATGAGTTACATGTATATAACAGGGATAAAATCGCTAGGTTTTTCTTTTTAATTTATTTTTCGTTTTATTGATATAATTGACTTGCAGCACTGTATACATTTAAGGTGTGCAGCATAATGATTTGACTTGCAGACATCACGGAATGATTACCACGGTAAGTTCAGTGAGCAGGTTTTCCTTTATCCTTACAATATTATGTCTCATACGGAAAA